TATAATTAAATAGTGTAACTGATATATAAAAAACGTATTCTGATATTTTGCAAAGGGTTTAAAATTCAGTGTTCAAGTGACAACAATAAAACCCAAATTTTGGTTGTGACATAGTCTAAACACATCTGCTCAAGCTGTGACATTATCACACTCACAGTTAAGGTTTCAATACACTGAAGTTTCGAATTACAATATAAAGCTTGTCTATAATGAGAGGAATGTGACCTGGACTAATCTTTTAAGTGCTATAAAGTGATTTTTTTCATAATTTCTGTTATCCGTATCGTTCGGAAATCTCTTGTAATAAGAGGTATCATGTAACTAGGGTCAGGTAGTGTTATTCAAACTATCTGTACTGTAAGCTATTACAAGCATTCACTAGTAGTGGCAATTAAACTTTTGTCTGTATAATGAAACAACATACAAGGACATGTGTTGAAATGAACTTGTTTCAAAGTGTGTGTATATCTGTGCATGAGCTATCCTGTGTTGCAAATCTCATGCTGAACTGTGTATGTGGGTATCCTGCATTCAAACCACATGTCTGACCCAAAGGAGCGATGCTTTAGTGAGTATGCTTTCAATGCCCGAGATGCAGCACCTTTCAAGAACTTCAATATTGAAAATTCTGTCCTACCATTGGTTATTGTAAATAAATCTTAAGCAGTAAAGGTGAATGCATCTAGTTGCTTTATATGGTGTTGGTAGTGTCTATACCTCATCACAGTAAAGAAATAAAGTAAGAACAACAGCCTGGTAAACTTTGGTTTTAAGGCAGACACAATGCTCCCTCCAAAGCTTATGCATGAGCCAACTGAATGCCAAGCTTGCCCTGGTCAGATGCTGAATTATTTCATCATCCAGCATGGTGTTGTTGGAGAAGGTATTCCCTAGGTAGCAGAACTTGTGAACTGGGTTAAGGGGTGTATTATCAATTGTGACTATGGGATTTTACTAGGGCTGGCTGGTATATAATTTCTGTCTTTTTAAAACTTATTGAGGCCAAAGCATTTTGAAGCTTGAGCAAAGCAGTCAACAGTCAGCTGGATGTCCTTAAGGGTGTGTGCTATGAGAGTGCAGTCAGTAGCAAATAGGAGCTCTCATATCAGCTGTTCTTTAACCTTTGTATGAGCCTTGAACCTCTGCCAGTTGAAGAGACCACCATTAGTTCTGAACTAAATGTGTAGTCCTATGTAGAGGTTTTTAAATGTAAATAGGAGCATAGCAGAGAAGTAAATGGCAAACAGGACTAGAGCCATTACACAACCTTGTTTGGTATCATTGGTGACAGGAAAGGTATTAAACAATTCTCCACTTTACATAGCTTTAGTGTCAGACCATGATGGAATGAGCAGAGAGCACTGATCATAATTTCTGGACATCCAACTTTGTTTAGTACTTTCCATAGGCCTTCTAGGTTTACTATATCAAAAACCTAGGTCAGGTCTATGAACACCACATACAGGTCCTTGTAATGTACACAAGCCTTTTTCTTGGATTTGACATACTACAAAGATCATGTAGATTGTAGACAGTTCCCCTGCCAGCTCAAAAGTCATGTTTTGTTGACAGGTTGTGAAACAATCCTGCTGAAAACAACCCTTGCAAAAAGTTTGCCTGGTATGGAGAGAAGTGAGATACTATGATGATTATTGCATATGGACTTGTTTTCTTTCTTTTATAAGTGAACTATAGATACATCCTTTTAATCTTGGTGTACAATACCTTGATTCCAGTTGTTGCAAAATAGTTTATCTAGTTTTCAAGCCATGTATACTTCTCCATGCTTGGGTAGAATACCACCATGACCTAGAGTCTTGCCTGCAGAAAGTTTCTTGGTGGTCTTGATCACCTTGGCTTGGGATTGTTCAGTGATGAGCTTGTCCATGACAGGATGCTGTGGATGTGAGTCTGTGTCAGCATTGCACACTGTAGAGTGGTGGTTCAGAAGGTTGTTAAAATGCTTTACCTAGTAGGAGAGAATGTCTGTTTGTCTGTGAGAGTCAGTTGCTATCTGCTTTGAGGACAGGTATCATGCCACCAAAATAGGGCCATAGTCAGATTGAAGGCCTTCATAGAAAGCCCTTATGTCATTCTTATTAGCAGCTTCCTATAGCTCAACAGCCTTGTTTTCTCACCAGCAGTTCTTAAGATCCTTCTATTTGGCCTACAGTGAGCATTTTGCCTTCTTTACCAGTGACTTTATGTTGGATATATAAATTCTACGAGAACTGTGCGTGTCATCAAGAAATTTGGTGGTGTCTTCTGAAATGACAGTTAGTGCCACATCTAGTACTTGTTTCAGTTTCTTGGTTTGGTCTTCGTTGATGGGTTAGATCTGTGCCAAGCCAGTTTAAAAGTAAATTGCAGGGATATGATGCTTCTGAGAACTGATGGCCTGACCAGTATTCAGTATCTCTGAGGAAGTGGGTGATGTGCACATCTCTGAGGTCTCTTGGTCATGCAGTTATATAATCAAACATATGCCAGTGCTTAGGCCTATGATGTGTCCATATTATTTTTAATCTAATCAAAAACACAGGTGTGAAAAAAGGTGCAGCCAAAAGAGGATTGATTTTGCAACTTATAGGAAGGAAAGGAAAAAAATTGGAAGAAACTCAATCAAAATTGGAGATATTATATCATCTTAGGTATTTCTTAATGTTGAAATTTGGTATGTGAAGATAGAGTCTAGTAGAGCACATGCACTGAAAGTATGATAGTTAGGATTCTCACGGTCTGAGATACAGAAAGTGGAAATTCGCTAAACTATTGCTCCTGTAAATAACACAGTGTGTCCTGCAGGAGGTTGTTTTGACTGCATGAAACGCTACCGTATGTCTTGATTTGAAGGCCTGTCGAAAGTATGTGTTTGTGATGGTGAGGTCAAACTCACTGCGCTTGGAAAAAAAGTAGTTGGCCATTGGAGTTTTCCCTTTTGACATCATGTTGGCCCATTGCTCCCTTACAAATGTTGAAGTTAGCACCAACCTTGGTGTTGAGATTGTCAAGGATGATGAGCTTATCCTAGTATTGTACCCCTCTAATGACTACTGAGATCATCAGAGAAAGCTTTCTTGAGTTCATCTGTTTGACTCATTATTGGTGCTTAAATGCTAATGAAAGTGACTTACTGGTTTTTTGCAAAATTATTCCAGAGAATCATGAGTTGTTCATTTATTCTATTAGAGAGTGAGTCGAGGTTGTGTACACTTCTGGATTGTATATCAAATCCTACATCAGATTATTGAGGCTAGTTGCTGGTTTAAACAATTCAGTAGAAGGTGTAGCATGTGCCTATGTCCTCTAAATGGAATTCCTCTTCAAGCCTTGTTTTGCTTAGGGCAGCTATGTCAATGTTGTACATGCACAATGTTCTGGCTATAAGAGTTGTTCCGTGCTCTGGCTTTTCATCATTTTTTAGAAGTGTTTGTATGTTCCATGAGCTAGGTATAATTATGTATATGATCTTATGAATTCTTTCTGTGCTTTAACCACAGATTTGAATGATGAGCTAGAAGCAGTTGCCTGGCAGGTCTAAGGAGGGTGGGTTGTGTTTAGGTTGTCCTTTTTTAGCCCCTGTCCTTGGATTGAGGAGGGCAGCTCTCTCAACTTAAGAGGATATGAACTCCACGTCTGCCTTCATCTGAGAAGAACAGCTATCACCCTGAGGTTGTCTGTGAGCAAAGTTGTGACTGGAGGCTTCCAGCAGCATCCTCCATCTCTCCCTGTTGCTGCTTCCCCATTGCCATAAGGCTTAGTTGTTGACTTGCTGAACTACTTGCACACTAAAATATATATATATATATATGAGTGGGTGAGGTTTGTGCAGAGATTTTCCCACTCTCATCCAAGCAGTCATTCCTTCAGGTGCCATAAGTACAGCTGCTGACAAAGATGCAGGTTTTATTTTGGAGTTACTTTTCTACTAGTCTTTGACTTTCTCTGTATTTGATGTACAAGACAGTGTGGAGGAGGTTGAGGTTACTTAGGAGTGCCTCACCCTGGTAATCCCATTATTGAATACAGGGAGTATTTTTTTAGGAATAGTTGCTTCCACACAAGCTACTCCACCTTGTTCTCGGCAACTACTGCCAGTTGGTCCATGACTGCTTATTGATTATTCACAGCTAACCATATTTGATAGCACAAGCATTTGGGATGCATATGATGGGGGAAGATTACTCTGTGTTAATATCATCTAACACCCCAAAAATGCAATATAACAATACACGTACAATGTGTGTGTGTGTGTGTGTGTATATATATATATATATATATATATATATATACACACACACACACACACA